CTGGCTCTCGCCCTGTGGATCCCGCTTTGGAAGCGAGGACGCGGTAACACGATCATTACGCGTCCACAGCATCGGGTCCCCGGCCAGAACAGATGATGAACTTGCCACACGGAAAGCTCTTCGAGCTTGTTTCTTGGTCCCACAAGAAATTCCGTTAAACGTCTATCGCACTCGTTCTAAGTGCTCAACGAGGTGGCTCTCGTGTACCCGCAATGCGGACAATACCTATAGTGCTCGCCCCTAGCAAAAGCACTACATATAATAAAGCGCTCTTTGAGCGATGGGTGCAACGGTACGAAAACTTTCCTCACTGCATATCCTGCAGTTGAGCCACAAGGAAGTGGACGTGCGTGTGGAGCGACATCTCCGCTTTGAGTTTGCCAAACTCAAGGCACGACGTCGACTTCCTTCGGATTGTCGCCCTGCGACGTATGGATTAACCTCTGATGCTCCCGCGAGCTCTGTGTCTTCGACCGCAAGAGCTCAGGGCCACTGCTTGAGCTCAGCTAATGGCCCGTCTACTTCCCTGGCTATTGCCGGGCGTCTGATGACGCAGGACGTCCTGATCTTTCCAATCAAAAGCGTCCACGGCGACTAGGCAATCTCACCCATTTCGCTAAGGGGAAACGTCGCCATACAAGCTCTTGGGTTGTCATCGCAAGTGCCACATAGTCAGCTTTTGCTGAGTAAAGCGCAACGATTGCTTGCCTCTTGCTCTTGTACACAAGTGGAGCTTCACATTCAATACAAGAACACCAGATGTCGAACGGCGCATAGCTTGATCTCCTCCCCAATAAGCATCGCTTGAGGTCTTCAATCCACTTGGCTGCTCACTGCTATTCACGAATCGGATTCCAATTGCAGAAAATTCTTCCCAGTATCGCAGGACCCTAATTGCTGCACGCCAAAGCTTTCACGAGGATCATCCAGATGCTGGAATAGTCCCGACAACGCAGTGCAATGTCGGAACGTGTGGCATTTGCAATATACAACATTGATCGAATCAAATCACGAAACTTGGTCTTAGAGTCGAAGTGAACACGAGTATTATCAGTGGCCAAATCTTGACGTAGGATCATAAGATTTTGGACACTGTTCGCAAATAATTGTCTCAATCGTTCCAGCAGTGGTAAAATGGGCTGTGTTTGCTTAATCACAAGTTTTCCTTCAGTTTGACTGTGTCTAAATTCCATCCCCAGCATCTCCACGCGATTTCACCGTTGAATGTCGAGCAAGCGCAATGTGCACTGCTTGTACTTCCATTTCCGTCTTTCACCGACAGGTAAGTCATCCACGTAGAGATCAAAAATACCAGAGATGCGTGGTCGTCATCATCACGATCATGGCGGACGAATAAATACGGATCTGCTCCACGCTGTGAGATCCCGAGCTCCGTTAAGACTGCACGAAAAGTTTTAAACCATATTGCTGCCGCTTGTTTGAGCCCATTGAAGCTCCGTCGGAGTTGGCAGACCATACTTAAACTTTTTCAGGCAGTTCCATATTTATTCGTCGGAATCGCCATTGGTGAAGGCGAGTTCAATGTCAAATTGGCGAATCAAAAGTTGACGTTGGTAGCACACTGCTAGAAATTTACGTTTAGTTTTCATATTCGTTGGAGGGGAGTATGTGTGAGTGTAGTCGACACCTTAAGACTGAGGGTATCCAAGTGTGTAACGAGCCTTGCCCTGCAACGCGTCACATTGCCATTCTCGTCATGTTTGAAAGTGAATACCC